CAATCTGAGTCCAGGCTTGAGATGCAGACGGAGGACGCCAGGTGGCACATCGGCGATGACTGTGCCGAAAGTTAGTGCTAGCCAGAAACAGGTTGTGGTCTGCGCAAAGTTGCAGTAGACGGTCCCCGTTATCTGACCTGCGACCAACGAGTCCCCATCGGCCACCTAGACGACTCTCTTCTGTGCCTAGACGCCCGACCTGAGCATTCAAGTCTCCGGCTAGTACTACAATATCTGTCGAACGCACTTTCTGGAGGAGAACTGATAACTGGTGGTAAAACTCATCCTTGATTGCATCCGGGCTGCAATCTGTCGGGGCATAGGCGGAGATGACGAAAAGACATCGTTTCTCACGCCGATTTCTTCTCACTTTGATGGAACTTTCTAATCTAACAGCACATAACCGACTGTTAATGGGGATCCAATCGACTAGTGCTGCCTCAGCTCTAGCGCTTAGTGCGACACCAACGCCAGCAAATCCAGACGAAGATGCCACAGGGTCCCCGGATAAGCGCACGTAAAACAAGCTTTTCGAAGCGACAGATGGAGATCGAATTTGTAGTACTTCGCCAGAGTCTTGAATACGGGTTTCGGATAGACAACACACGTCGATATTAAGACTTTCCAAAGACATAGCCAGCCCTATCTGTTGTCCGACCTGCATAAATGTGCGAGCGTTGAAGGCAGCCAGTTTGAATGATGCACGTGGTTTCAGAAAATCTGCTTCAGTCCTCGTATTCGGTGGTAACATACAATTTTCAACCGGACAGTGACTCGAGAACGTTTAGATACAGTCGGAATTCCACCAAAGACGAGCCGCTGTATAAGTATAAAAGAAGGTGAATAATGTGGAAAATAATAATAATAATGATAATAATAACAATAATGACAATAATAGTAGTAATAATAATATTAGTATTAATAATGACAATAATTGAAGTGATCATAATTTGAATCAATTGATTGTTTTTCAAAGCGACAAAAGTAGTTTCCATAGACATAAACAGTTCATCATTTGTGTGTGGGCTGTGATACTGCCCGGGTGCCCAAACCGAAGCAGGTGGTTATCTTAGGGGGCCACTCCCCGAGCCTTTGACCTAAAGGTCTAACCCACAAGGCAGTGGAGCATCGTAAGGAGATGCAGTCCCATGGTAGCCGGTGACCAACGATTGGTTCATACGCCATTCGTTCCCGCAGGATACTGGAGCCCATGTGCACCATTGGTTTGGAATCCGGTTAAAGCGCCGGACATTCGCTTCTCGTCCTCTCATTTTCGTAAACAACACCCCCGCCACGAGAAGGCAATGAGTAGGACTTCCCTGGCAGAGGCTATATACGCGTGGCCGTGTGAGAGTATTTCGAGAGGGAGAGCGGACTCTCCCCACTCTCGGCCGTACCAGGGCATTCAGGGGGCAAATGTGATGCAAATGTGAAAGCGCAGATCGGTAAAGCAAGAGCAGCATATTCACGACTGAAGAACATCTGGAACTCAAAGCAACTTTCGACAAACACCAAGGTCAGGATTTTCAATACAAATATCAAGACAGTTCTGCTGTATGGGGCAGAAACCTGAAGAAATACGAAAGCCATCATCCAGAAAAAACAGGTGTTTATTAACGGCTGTCTACGCAAACTACTTCGGATCAGTTGGCCAGACACAATCAGCAACAACCTTCTGTGGGAGAGAACAAACCAGATCCCAGCGGAAGAAGAGCCGGAAGTGGATAGGACACACATTGAGGAAAGCACCCAACTGCGTCACAAGACAAGCCCTCACATGGAATCCTCAAGGCCAAAGGAAAAGAGGAAGACCAAAGAACACATTACGCCGGGAAATGGAAATAGACATGAGAACAATGAACAAGAATTGGATGGAACTAGAAAAAAAGGCCCAGGACAGAGTGGGTTGGAGAATGCTGGTCGGCGACCTATGCTCCATTATGAGTAACAGGCGTAAGTAAGTAAGCTATCTTCGGTTCCCGGCTGATCCCCTTCTATGTATTTATTTGAACACATAAATATTGGTACAAAGAGACACCGTATACATATGTGCCACACAAGTCACTTCATTTGTGTGTGGGCTGCGATAATGCCTGGGTACCCAGACTGAAGCAGGTGGTTTTCTCAGGGGAATATACCCGGAGCCATCGACCCAAAGGTCTGATCAACAAGGCAACGGAACAACGTTAGGATAGGTAGTTTAATGGTAACCGGCGAACAACAATGAGTCATCCGTTGTCTCAGAATCCTGGAGCCCCGACGCACCACTGGTTTGGAATCAAAGTTTTCCAACTCCCATAGGTGGATCCTCCATATCTACCAACCCAGTAAAAGCGCCGGATATTCGCTTTTCTTCCTCTGAATTTCGTAAACAACACCCCCGACCAAGGGAAGGCTGTGAGCAGAACTTCCCTGGGAGTGGTTGTATGCACGTGGGTATGTGAGAGCTGACCTCCATCCCCGGCCGTACCGGGGTGTTGCCGTAACACACATGAACGAAGCACTTCAAAACAATCTGATATCACATACCTGTTCTCTACATATAATGCTACTATCTATATTAAGCTGATTATGTATATAAACTGATATAAATTCTGTAATTATTATTTTCATAGTATATTTACTATTATTATATTAATGTAGACCTATGGTGAGAAAATGGTAGTATACTGAAAGATGTTTTAAACTAATTTCATTTGTCCATGGTTTATTTCTCATATTTTATAAATTATGTAGAACTTATAACTTGATAATCTAAGCGAAGTACGTTATCCAGTTGTATTTCTGACCCAACCGAAGAAATGAAAAACTAGACTACTTATAAACAAAGTTTTAGAAATCCATAGCTATACAAAAAATACTCTTGTAGTTCTCGCTCAATTGTTTTCTCAAGTTTAGCCAATTTCTTTAAAGAAAATTTATTTGAATCTCTAATAGAATTATATATATAGGGCTAACGATAGAAAACCACAATCGTTTAAATTTCTCATTTGCAGCCATTTCAATTATCCATACAACTGAAAAAAAAAGTGTTCACAACCGCCGTGCATTTAATGATATTCCAGATACACTGAGCACAGCTTTTGAAAGCAGGTCAACCAATGACTTATTTTTAAATATCTATAATCATCCACCTGTAAATAATCAGTAGAGGTTACCGACTTAGACCAATGTAGTTCATATTTCAGCCAAAACCTATTTGGTATTTTGTGTGATCAAATGATTACTAGAACTTTTTTCTAATTTGAATTGAATCAGTGTAATACGTCCTCTTTCTTATGGTGGTCAACTGTATTATGAAGACTTCGACATCTCAGGACCAATTAGACGATTTGGACTTCGCAGATGACATAGCCTTCCTATCCCATACACACGAACAAATGCAGATGAAGATAACTAGTGTAGCAGCAGTCTCCGAATCAGAAGAAAAAACCAAGATCCTCAAATACAACACGGAGAACACTAACCCAATCCCACTTAATGGTGAAACTCTTGAAGATGTGGGATCCTTCACTTACCTGAGAAGCATCATCGATGAACAAGGAGGATTCGATGCAGACGTAAAGGCCAGGATTGGCAAAGTCAGGGCCGCATTCCTACAATTGAAGTATATATGGAACTCAAAACAACTGTCAACCAATATCAAAGTTAGAATCTTCAACACAAACGTCAAGGTAGTTCTACTGTACGGAGCTGAAACGTCGAGAACTACAACAACCACAGTCAAGAAAGTACAAGTATTTATAAATATTTGTTTACGCAAGATACTCAACATCGATTGGCCGGATACCATAAGCAACAGCCTACTGTTGAAGAAGACAAACCAGCTTTTAGTTGAAGAGGAAATTAGGAAAAGACGATGGAAATGGATAAGACATACATTACGGAAGTCACTAAACTTTATCACGAGACAGGTGCCAACTTGGAATCCTGAAGGGAAGCAGAAAAGAGGAAGGCAAAAGAGCACCACGTCGGGAAATAAAAGTAAATATGAAAAGGATGAATAACAACTGGAAAGGATTGCCCAGGATAGGGTTGGATGATGAATGCTGGTGAGCGACGTATGCTCTTCCACGAGGAGTAATAAACGTAAGTGTACCGCGGTTAATCTCATACATTTGATATTATTTATCATAAATTAAAAGGAAGACGATCTTTTAAAAGAATTCATAATACATATATAGATCAGTGAACGCTGATTGATACATTTAAAGTTTATTGCTTGATTATATTTTGAAAATAACTAATAACCAATTAATAAGAAACATAATTCCATGCTCAATTTTTACAATATGATAAAGAGATTATTATTATTATAATTAATTTGTAATAATTGAAAAGTTTTTGAATATAAAATAGAACGAAAGACAAGAATAATATAAATTAAAATTGTTATAATTTTACATTAAGCAAAATGAAAAGGGTAGCCAAGTCGTGTAAACGGATAAAACAATAGAACTCATAAAATGACACATAATACGAAAATATATATATATATATATATATATATATATATATATATATATATATATATATATAATTCTATGTATATTATATTGTAAATAGAAAAATCAATAATTTCAGCTAAATATGTATCGAAAACTATTATTAAAATTAATTATTAAATCATTTATACTTTCATTTTTTTAAAAAGTTTTTACGTTGATAAGTAGTTTTGGATTAAAAATTACCCCCTATCTTAATCATAATTGTCATCTCTTGGATACAGAAAACTTAAATATTTTTTATCAATGTCAAAATGGATAAGAACATTGTCAGTTCAAAAAAAAGAGAAAATAAATCGACAAACCAACAGAATGGGAAAATCAACTTTGACAAATAAGCAATGATGATATTACATTGTTTTCTCTCCTTTTTTTGCAGAAAACACGAACATACAGTATCAAAATTCAAGTTTTACAAATCTATTGAAGCACTTCGACTTAATCTCTTTGAAATCTTGCCTAGGTTTGGAAAATACTGAATAACCATTTCGGATTTTAAGCATCAGCCGCATTCGACAGTGATGAAGATGATGGTAATAATGATTGTTCAACACTGAAACAACATTGACGACTTTCATTGGCTACCATACGGAAAAGCAACTGTGATGAGATTTTTAAAACAAAAGAGTTACATCGGCATTAGAAATAAAAATTAAAATAGCGGTAATTTATTTATAACATCTAATTACGTCTCATGACTAATACCATGGTGTGGTTTACTTATATCCACATAAGTAGTATGTAACGGTGTCAGACATACAATGTATTTGAGTAGGAGGTCGATGACAGAAGAACGGGAACGAAACGCAATTGGTATGAAAACGGGTGAACAATGAAATCTGAGACAATGGGTTGATGTTCGCAATAGGAACAGTCAAGTTTGAGACAATGGATTGATATTTGGCAAATTAATGATTTACTATATGGTTCTCAGATTTTATTGAGATCCTCTGTAATTTTTTGTCAAATTGTATTCGATTGTCCCCACTCGTATTCTTGTTCACTACCATTTCGAATCATAACACCATTCAATATATCTCCACTTTAACAGTTAACCGGACAGTAATAAAAGCTTAGCATAATAAATAAGCACATATATATGTCATCATTTTTTTACTTAATTCCTAAACTTATAAAATGAACGTATTGTGGTAGTACATGCTTTCTATCTAATGTGATTATATCGAGTGCAATACAATTTGAAATAAAAGAATCTAGAGATAGTTGACCATGTGTCGTATCATAAACCAGCAAATTATAATACAATGATAGTTGCATTACTCTATCTTTAAACAAGTAGTATTCGGATTTCTTATGCAAGAATTAACTGTGAATCAAATAAGTTAACAAGTATACTTTCTATCCATTAAACACAAAAGCCAATATAAAATGACACAAGATAATTTATGAACATGGGAAGTTATGTGATCAAAATAATTCAATTACGGTATTTTCTTGACTGCTTTTTCGGCTGGATGAAATTTGATGAGGTGTTTGTCAATCCTGTGACTAACCATAATCCATCTCACAGCTTGAACCTTGCGGTAACGACAGAGAGCTTCATTCAGAATTCTGCAATCAAGCCTCTGTCAGTACAAAAACCACTTCAACAGTGCTGCTGAACCGAATGGGAAATCCTACCTATTACAGATAACAAACCAACTGCCGGTTGAGGAGGAAATCGGGAAAGGAAACTGGAGGTGGATCGGATACAGTTTACGGAAATCATCAAACTGAACCACAAGTCAAGCCCTGACTTATATTCTTCAAGACAAAAGGAAAAGAAGCAGGCCAAAAAATGTCGTTGATAATTGGCGCCAGACATCAAGATCATGAGTAGCATTTGGCGACAGGTGGAAAGAAGATCCTAGAATGGAATCGTCTGGTGACTCTTAGTTGGAGTTTTCTACCTCATATGGTGGGTGGCAGGTCCCAGTTAGCAATTTTTAGCTGATATATGGGGTGGAAATATTTAAATTAGGAAGTAATCTTCCACAAGTTCTTAAATACTTTATTACGTAGGAAGTTCATGTTCCTCACATCAACTAAAAATAAACGGAAAAACTTATCAGGAGGGGGAGATGATAATAAGATTTTTAGATATTGCCTGATTTCTCCAAATCTAAGCGGTCACGAGTCGTCTGAAGTTTAAATGTTAAGTGGGAAATCACTTAGAAAAAATGAGACGGAAAGAAGTAGCATATATTTTAGACAAGGGTCTCAACCCAAATACAGCTATCTAGGTCACGGAAGACAACTGTTTAACTATCCATGATCTGTCCACATTACTATTCGGCTCGGCAATTAAACATCCCAGTCATGCACTCTTTTTATCTGCATAGCGGGTTTGGTATACTGCAAGAAGCGTACATATCGTAAATGGATCAGACCGCAGAACACAAGAACTTATAATACATTTTAAGAGCAGATTATTTGGAGATAAAAGAATAAGTAATAGAAAACACAACTTACGACTGCAGCCAGAGCTAACGCGACCATAAGCATAATAATAATGACAGACCAACCATATGGTTTCATGAGACCACACAGTAAAGGTCCGAGTGCTGCACCTAATTTAACGAATGTGAAAAATGAAAACAACACATCATGCCGCCGATGAAATAAGAATATTTATCTTTTATACAGTTACAATGATTGTAAAAACGACGACAGTAATAATGTATGATATATAAATAGAAATGATAAGTCAATTAATTAAACCATAAACGTTTATTAACTGAAATAGCTGATATACATGTTATACAGGCCTTGTTACTGGCTGCCCCCAGGTTAGATCTTGAATGACATAGGAGTAGATCAGCAGAAAATCTAGGAGTGAACAGACCAAACTATAGTATCAACCTATGAAGTTGATGAGTGTACGCTATTAAACTGATTTAAGACATCATCATTATTAGTATTTCGATCTACGGTCACGAATGTGTTATCCACGTAACGGAAGTGTAGATCTAGTTTATTGATAGCTTACATGAAGGGTTCATTTCTTATTGTTAAGAAGAAATAAGCTAAAACTGGACTTACATATGAGCCCATAGCTATTTTATCAATTTGTCTATAATAATTATTGTCGAAAACAAAACGACTTAACGAACGATTTTATCAATTCTTCACATTACGCATTTTTTCGTCAATCATCTCATTCTATTTATATTCTTCACTATCTGAGTGTTTACACGAGTTTTATTACGTAATTTTATTATTATTATTAGTGGCTTTATTCAATATTATATTTTGGTATAATATAGAATTCTCAGTACAGGGTATTATCCGCTATCAAGTTACTTACGCAACAACAAAAAAAACACAGTAACAAATACAAAAAGAAATAAAAGTTTTTTCTAAAAAAAACCGAAAACCTGTACAACTTTTAAAATTAGAGACATGTTAAGAATGCAGGTTATTGACTAGGTTAACTCTAACAACCTGTTCGTCACAGTATATTTGCTAGGTAAGGTATTATAGAACTTTTATACTTTTGCTTGCGTGCATGGATTTTAATGTAATTACGTCTCGTTCTACCAAAAGATATACAAGGAGAAAGATATGAGTGAAGGGGATGGTTAGTATCTGATAAAATAACACCTATCAGAAGTTTGCATGACTTTAGGTGTCTATCCACAACCATAGTAATTATGACCTCGAAAGATTCACCACACATCTTGCTAACTGCCTTCAGCACTCTCCGCAATACAGCAAAGTCTTTTCTCAAGAGCCCGGGAAAGAATAATGGAGAACAGTAAAGAATAATAGGTAATATGCAAGAATTGACAAATTGTAAGAGTAAATGACGAGTAATCCCGAGAGCATGCAATCTCTTTATGTAGTAAGTCAGACGGAAAGCCTTCTTCGATAACAATAAAACGTGGGAAGACCAAGACAGATCAGAGGAAAAGGTGACACCAAGATAATTGACCTTCGACACTGTGTTTATCAAAGAGTCTCCAATGGTACAAGCATTATGGGATCTCAAAATGGTGTTTAGATTCCGTTCATGTCTCATGCTAAAGTTAACAGCTTGACATTTAGACGGATTAAGTATGATACCATTACCAACAGACCAACAATCAATACGAAACAAAACTCATTCATTTCTATGGAATGTAAAGAGGAAGAAATAGGCATACATACAGTGAGATTATCCGCATATTTCACAAGAGTGTTTTCTGTGGAAGATGGCAGATCATGCAGAAAAAAAGAGAAGAAGAGGTGAAAGAACAACTCCTTGTGGTACCCCTTCATGAGACAGAAGAGACTCTGAACACTTTCCTCCAAACACAGTGTACTGTTCCCTTCCAGAGAGGTAGGAACATAGCCAGTTGGTTATCCAGCTGTCAGTGTCGACGCTGATTAACTTGTTGATTAATCGTTGTCTTGGTATGGAATCAAAAGCTGAAGCATAGTCCAGAAAAGCACATCGAACATACTTCTTACCCTTTTCTAAGTTGAACACTATGTTGTGATGAAGGACAGCAACAGCATCTAAAGTGCTTCTTTTGCGTCTGTATGCAATCTGATATGGATCAATATGCTCTTTTATCGCAGGCTGAAGTGGAAGTATTAATAATTTTTCCATTGTTTTGAGGAAGAGTGAAGTTATTGCAATAAGTCTAAATTTTACATTCTTATCACCAGATGCTTTCTTGGGTACAGGAATTATCTACATCTTTCTCTACATTTTCGGTATGAGATTAGATGAGAAGGATCTGTTAAAGATAGTTGTGAACGGATAACACAGGACGTCAGCACACTTTTTACAAAGGATGTTTGGGATACCATCAGGTCCCAAACATCGAGATGAATTAAGCGACTGGAGACATCCTCGTACATCAGTCTCAGTGAAAGTAGGAACACAGCTATTATTTAAACCCGTGGATAGAGGGAGCATCACATTAGATGACTGACGTACAAAAGACTTATTTAAGTCACAAACATTCAGCTGGTTATCGCTTCTAAACTGTCTGTCACCTGTAAGTTCTTTAAAGAGTTTCCACATACTTAGAGAGTTTTTGCAAAACAAGAGTTTTTGAGTAGACATATAGTTGAGACGTCTAATCTCTAGGTTTATCAGACCATTTAGCTTACGAATTTCATAAGAGTTTTTCTCCTTGTACATTCTTTCTTTCACCCTCCGTAGTCGTTTTAGTTGTGAAGATGTAAGTTGATCAAAACTTACAAAAATGGTTTCAGTGGGACAACAAATATCAAAACAGAATTTAAGGTAACAAGTGATAACATCAGTAGTGTTTTCCAGTGTGTCATCTGTAAATAATTCCCAGTTAGTCGTATGAAACATGTTTTTCAGATTTCGGATATTTTCTTCTGAGTAATCCCTATATTTGACTTTCTTGGTTTGATGTAAGAGTGCACTCTTCCCACGCTTTCCATATACTTTAGGTAGAACACGAATTATACAGTGATCCGAGTTAGACAGTGGAGCACGTTTACGAGTCGCATATATACCCACATCATTAATCAAGACGAAGTCTAAATGAGCATTCAAACGGGTAGGAAAATCTACTAAATTTTGGTGACCTAGTGACGTAAGGAAGTTACAGTCACATGAATTGAAATCACCACATACAACTGAAAGTGAGTCACTGAAGGCAGAAACAGCGAACTCAGTGAATTCATCGGCGAAAACAGATAGTGCAGATGATGTGCAATCTGGAGTAACGTAGATATTGGTAACATAAACATATTTGTATTTATTCAGATGTTTTGGACGACATCTTAGAGTTTGACAGTCGATAAAGGCATTTGAAAACTTAAAACACACAAACGGAGATCGACACCAGTTTTTGTTTACAAACGTAGCTACACTACCACCACACCTCTTTTTGTTGTTTGATCGATCCTGACGATAAATTTTGAAATCACGTAGTGATACTAGGCAATCATCCTGTAAATCATTTAACCAAGATTCTTGAATTTTGATGACACCACAATTACGATACATATTTTGACTTAGTGGGAATTGAAGATAGTCCATTTTGTTGATTAGTGATTAGTAGTTAGAATTAGGCAGCTCGGGAATCGACATACGATTAATGTTCATTCTCTTTAACGCATATTGCCAACCACCACGATGTCTTTTATAGTACTTTTTTGTAACTTGTGCAGCGAAAGGTCGTAGGCTTTTCATAAAAGCGTCTGAATAGGTTATGCGATTAATGGACATAATTATAAGTTAAAACAAATGAAAAAACAGATAACTTGTTGAAATAATCAGATGGCAAAAACAAGTAGCCCAGATATTCAAGCAGGCCGCCAAATTTTAATTAGTTTATGCGATTATTATTTCAAAAACTATTTATCGAAGTTTGACCTACTTCTTATGTTGGACTATTGATCAGAACTTTTGTTATTTTATAAACTGTATCACTACTACTTGTACACCTGCCTTCTTACTATCAATTTCCATTAGTTACTCCGACTAATCCACGAAATTGAGCGACACGTCCACCATTGCCGTCAGTGAGTTAGACATTAACACCGTTGGATGCCGGAAAGTTCAGTGGTCTAGGGGTTAAGCGTTCGCGCGCGAGGCCGATAAGTCCTGGGTTCGAATCTCGCGAGGTGGAATCGTGGATGCGCAGTGCCGAGGAGTCACACAATAGGACGAGACGGCCGTCCAGTGCTTTCAGGTTTCCCATGGTGGTCCAAATTCAAGTGACTCATGATCTCGACTATTGAAATTACTATAATATCCACAAAAATCCCTTCTGATACTATCATATTTAGTTAAGTAATCTGCCGGATTGTTACTATTGACTAATGTAATGCCTCCATTGGTTTAATATTTCCATGTAAATATCTATGTACATTAGAGTAAAGCCTGATGAATATCTAATTTAAAACAATATTGTTCGTTTACATATGTCGTTCCAAAATTAAGATAGTTAATTAGGGAATATTGGAACAAATTTAAAACGCCAGTGTGAATAGCTGGTTGTTGAAAGTAATGGTTCCAACAACTATTACGGAACTTGAAACGATGGGATGACGTTTTTGGGGAATAAAGTGTTAGGAATACGAGTTAAGGTTACGGTAATGATCTCCATGTTAACTTGCCGATATTTAGCCCTGATAAGTTTACTATTCGTCTTAAAATATTTAATCCTTTGTAATTTTATCATTTCGTAATATAGAATTCTTTCACAAAGACTGCATTATGATTAGTTGATCTCAAGGTCACTCCTAAAAACTACCTAAGGTCATCGGTATAATATAGTTTAACCTAGATTTCATTCACCTTTATTCTTCGATCATAATGAAGTCGACAAAAGGTATTAAAACACAATCTAACAATAAACAGCTTAAAACCCTATACTTCAATGTTGCCAAATAAGTTCAGTTAGTGAAGAAACTAACGGTTAAACTTCTACAGCAGTTTTATAATGGAAACAATTTAACTAAAAAGTGGCTAGAATCAATTTGCAGCTGCTTAGATGCACCAATTATGAAATAACTTATTCCTTCACTCTTAACGGCATCGTTTTACTCTTCTTTCAATACGGTATGCAGATTAGTTGGACATTCGAATACCATGAACACCACATATATTTAAATGTATATTCAATGTGATGGTTAAATATGAATATAACAACTGAGGCAATAAGTCAGGACTCAATAATTAACATTCTAAGATTAAATAATTCCCTTCATTTGATATTACTAATTTAATGCTTGATTTGCGCAAAGACCTACCAAAATATATAATACTTTGGTTATTCACTGGTTCGAAACAGATAATAAAATGTTTGATATAAACTTATGTTTAACAAATGACTGACAATATATTACTGTATATTAAGAATATTAATTAACCATTGGACGGATTTACTTAAAGTTATCAACAAAGTGTAGAAACTGTTAGATATTGTGACTCCATTCAACACATGGTATACAAATCTCCACTGTCGATAGGTTAGATCGTTTGAATTACATTTTTACGGATTTGTTAGCTTTAGATATATACTAATAAGATTTTCCTCATCAAAGTATCAAGGATAAATAGCCACAACTATGAGTAAAACTAAGTGCAACATGAAGTGAGTATTGTTAGCACAACGTACCAACTGAACCTGTTCCATCAATAATACCTGTTACTGTAGCCAATGCACGAGAATTTTTAGACAATGAAGGATGAGTACCTAGATCAGCTGAAACTGCTGTTGTAATCAAAGCGTAAGGACCATTAACAAACAATCCCAATGGGATTAATAAACCTAAAATAATGTAGAAATTAGTCATTAGAAAAGTATATTTTTAAAGGATCTGTTAAGCATAATAAAAATAATAACAGAACCAGTAACCATTTACAATTCTGAACAATTGATTGATAATACTACTTGATTGCTTAAATCTCAGTAAGAGATAATGTGCAAACAATTGAACTGGTCACAAATATACATCGTGGAGAATTAGGTTTCTAATTAAACATGCTAGAAATCCAATATATGTTAATTTTCCCTTAGACTCTGAGCTTCAAATTTGTTTCATACTTCTCATCCTACGAATTAATTCTTCCCTCTCGAATTACATTTATGGTTAATCATTGTTATTACCATTGATAATACAACTACTGTTTTTACCACTTCGATATTTATCTTGATAATTTCATCTCGTTGTCCTGATGTGATATATATATATATAATGTTCCAAGTTTTACACTATCTAGGAGTGGATGACTGCAGGACATATAAAATGCCATAGTACTGAAAAGCTGAGTATGATGATAGATAAATTTCAAAAAGGATTGAAGGTATCGGATATATACAACAATAGCTGTCGCCTGCTCTATTCTAGTATCTGTCATCAGTACGTTCGCAGACTACCGTGTGATGAAAATGAAGGATAAGTTGTTATACATCATAGAATTATTTCAAAGAAAGATATTAGTTTAAGTGTTGCGATGGACCATTGATATTCTACTTTACCTATAATGATTGCAAACTAAAAATTACTTATTGAGCATATGTAAATTACTTCGAAACTAGAAAAGAATGCTTGACATCAACCCCAAGGTATCAGTCAAAAACTCTAAACGACGATGAAGAGTAACTGACTGATCAATCTTACCATCTAAAACAAAGGTCGTTCTGTTTTATCGAAAGAATGACAACTGAAGTAAAATCAACGTCAGTGAAGTTATCAAATAAGTCATATATTTATGTAACTTTGCACCGATTACTGATTCGTATATTCATTTGGCTTTCGAATCACAATCTTTTTGTTTACACAGATAAGTAGTTAAAATACTACTGATCTGGCTAAACTGAAGCCAACAGCAGTGATGGTTTAGTTTTTAATCTAATGGTTGTAAGATGTACACTTTACTCACTGATCTGCACCCTTGTCAGAGTATTTACAGTACTAAATTTTCGATTATTTATCAAAATACGGTTCACTCTCTTTCTACTCAGTGATATTGGATATATCACAGTTTAGTAAGTTTCATCATGAAATTCAACTAGTTTCTTGTACGAAATACAAAAATACTAATTGGATGATTTCTTTGGAAACCAGAAACGTGTCAAACGACCGTGTGGTAACGCACAGAATTATCAATTACACAGTGCGGACATTAAACAAGAAGTAATTTTTTCCCAAAACTTAGCAACACATAAATTGCAACTATACACCGAAATAAAATGAACTACCTAACCTTGCTCAACTTACCGATACAATGAGCTAAAGAACGAAATCCAACGACTGAGTATAGATACAACTATGTTGGATAAAAATAAATGAATAAAAACAATAATGAATAATGAAATCGAAGATAATAGTTACGGAGATTTTGTCTTATACTACAAGTGAAAAATTAAATGAGAACGAGGAAAAGGTCAGTAACTGTTTCATGACTCTGATGGTAAATATTGGTAACATTAACGAAGATCGTGTTATACCATCAAGCAAACTACATCCCGACCTTCTCTTTAAATATGAAATGAAGTTACATGACTTAATGAGATCGACATTCTTAAAGTGCAATTTGAAAAGTAGCGGTTACTTATACGTATCAATGGTTTCCCGACTAACTGACTAGTACTTACAAATAAACAAATAAGCGATTCTCAAACTAACAAGATTAAGATTTTTCATATTAGGAACATAATATCAATGTTGAAATAGGGCTAAATCATGTTCTTAAGCTTAGATTTTATCTGGTATAATCTGGTGACTGAAATATGTTGGAAATATATGAACAATATAGGAAGTTTACACGGATAGAGCAGATGTGTTAAGTAAATCCGATCGTCATTAATATCGGCATGCTCTTTCGGTTTAACTGAGGTAGGACAGATAGGAATACAAGGTGATTAGATCAAGACTAAAAGTTGATATTAATGAAAGCCTTTACTAAATAAAGAATTTTAGGCTTCCTGTTTGAACTGACGTTTAAACAAATAGTGGTTTCACAATTTACAAAATCTCCGTCATGATATATTTCGAAACTCTTATTGCATATTTTTAAGTGTTTCTTTCATCTTCCAACTACCGTTGGTATAAATAATTCCAAATTTATTCTTCTTGATGACTTTCCAATGCATATATATCATGATATAAAGTTCACGACGCAAGCCGTAACATGGAATCCTGAAGGAAAGAAGAAGAAAGGAAGAACCAAGGACATATTACGTCGGGAATTGGAGGCAGACAACAAAAGAACGAATAGCAATCAGAAACAGCTGAAAAGGAGAACCCAGGACAAAGTTGGTCGGAGTATCCTGGTCGGCGACCAACGCTCCTCCACGAGGGGTAACAAACATAAGTAAATTGATATAAACTATGGCAAATTGGACAGATAAGATATTTATGTTGAGAACATTATGGATGCGTTCGCAAGCCTTTACAACAAATGAACATGGGTACTATTGCTCTTGAAGAATGTTATCTTTATTTATTCTCAAAAAGAATATTATAAGTGATAAAGAATCTGCTGAAATCAAAAATGGCTATAATAATGATTTTTGAGATGAATTAAATCTTGTTAGCAAAATTGCGTACCTCCATTGAATAAAACCAACGATTTCTGCAACTTCCAAAAATTTGAAAATTAATAATATACAGAGAGAGAGAGAGAAAGTCTAATCAGTCTTTTAACATCGAACCAATGTTGTCAATACCCTCTTTCTTTAAATCTTTATTATTGAAACCAAACGCACCACATTATCATTTATAACCTAAGTGGCTTTACTGGAATAAAATACCATTGAAGATTGATGTTAGTAGATATTTTATGTTCATCTCCCCGTTGTAAGTATACTTAGCCGAAATTCACATAAATTACACAGTTTGTTTCAACTTTAATATGGATTCCATCTCTTTCACTTACACATACACATACACATATTATCGACTTTTTTCCCTTCAATACAAAAGTGAAAAAAAGTTAAGTGAAAATGCATAACCACTATGCAAGATTTCTTACCGTAGGTATCGACAAAGCAATCATTACAACACATGTAATAGCACTTGATCCAGTACAATCGGATACATAACCAGCGATAATTCCACCGAGTATTCCACCTAAATCAAAAACAGCTGATAAATCAGCTGATGATGATGGGTCGAAACCGCCTGCTTCACGTATATACATAGGTAACCAAAATAGGAAAGTATAAGAAACTAGCTTAGAGAAGAATAAAGTCAATGAATATTCAATAACACCCTGAAAGAGATAAAGTGAGAAAAAGCTTGTTGTAGAAAAAAGGATAAAATACAAAGACTACAAAGGTTATTTTAGATAAGAACGAATAGGTGGAACTTTGTAGACGATGCTACCGCGGATTACTATATACATTTTACCGGGTATTCATTAAATCTGATGTACAAGGTTTCACGTAATCTACTGGCTGTTAATATATCTTTTACCGTTGTTCACAGTGGCTGCTATACATTTTTGTACTACAAATGACCTAGGTAAATACATATTGTGACTTCCTATTTGTAGTGAGTTGTGGTTCTGTAATTGGTGAGTAAGAAATGTAAATCGGGCATGTTGTTCCGATAGTGTAGGTTGAGGACAAAGAATTCGCGTGGGCCACACCATGTAAGGATATTTTTTTCTTGGGGTACCTCAAAAGAAAACTGGATTAAATGACACAAAAACCTGGAAACGTGACGAAATAGCTCAAGGAACAGGTGCTTGAGACCGGAAACATACGATCTTTATATTGGGAATATTCTGTGTGTCAGCTACGTACTTAGAAAGACCTAACCGCCAGGGACGGAAATGAATGGATTAAAATAGCTAGAACACATTCTACAAACAAGGTCTGGTAACAGATACAGTAGAACGGATATTGAGTTGGAAGCACATTAAGGAATATTTAGTACAAAAATCGAATTCTCACGAAATCTGTCACAGAACAAAAACTTAAACACAAAGAATAAGTTCTAACTTCAGAAACGGGATGACCTAAAGTTTAATCTTCAACGTATTTCAAAACACATACTACTGAAGAATCAGGACTCAGTAAAAAAGCAATCATGTATTGAGTTCCACAGTATTCAGAGGCTCTTCGATTGATATGACAAGTAGTATTGTAAACATAATAATTAAACTGTGAAACTTGAAGAGACAAGGAGAAAGTTTTACCAAAAAATAATATGTAGTTGAAATGCATAACAAGGCCTTTGTTTTTAGCTAAATACATCCTCACTACACACAAACTTACAGGTACTTTTAGTGCAGACAGAAATGATGAAGAGTTCTTTTTTGTTGGTATTAAAAGATTACATTGTGAACTAGTTGTCCCAAGCGATTCCTAAAATGGTAAGCAATAACAAGAAAGCCGTACGATAGTGATCACCAATCGAAAAGAAGTCCGGAAGCAAAAAGCACAGATGAGATACTACACAACACTAAGACAGAGCGAAAACTATTCTTTTAACAGACGATTAAAATAATGACGTAATACTTTGTTGGATTCATACACCCTGTACATTCAGTCAAACATTGTGATACTAGAAGAAATTAACGGGCAATACGGTTCGCAACCGCAAATATCTATATCAAATTAAAGTCTTGTCGAGGTTCATATAATTCAGATGTAGTTTTCATCATGGATACCTGCTACAATCCTACTGGAAACTGATGAATAATTAGTATTCACTTTATCCAACCTTGAGACAACATCACAGTGTGTATTATCGACCGATACAGGGTCAAGTCAATCGGCTTCCAAGTCTCGTGATGACCACGATATTCTTGAATCACCATATTAGAACTCAATGGCTCATAGTTTGTAACTCTTATCAATATGAGATAAATCATGAGTATCGTTTAGTGTCATCCGATGAACATCCGTTTCACTCCACGCATGACTAATTTCATGGCTTCTAACTAGAGGTTCGTAGACGTTCTCATTTGAGCCATCAATAGTTACCACAAAATATTTAGATTTAAAAAGGCTGACAACTTAAACAATCTTAACTAGTTTTTATTATGATAATGGCATTTCTCTCTTGGTGAGAACATTTACCTTGTGTGTGTGTCTGTGTGGTAACGAGAAAACAAAAAGTATACTAAACCAAAATAATCGGATCCCGACTAATATTTATTCAATCATTAGTATTAAAAATGTACAATCTATGGATTGGTAGTAGGAACTAATAAGAAGTAAATTAATTTTAGAACGATATCATATCAAAAAGTACTTAAAACGGATCCCAATAGTACGAACCCTTATCTATTTTTTGTCTTACTATCTATTCGTGTGAACTAAGGTGTTTTAAACAGTGAATTTTGTTGATCAAACTACCCTATTTTTGGCCACTAGTTCACTATTTAAAAACCCTCATAAACGTTTTAACTCTGAACAGTCAGGTGATAAAACTCCATTTGGCGAACCTAAAGAGCTCGTGACAGTGTCCAGCATGGGTAACAGAGGACGGTTAGGTGTAGGGTTAGTAACCACGCTTAAAACAAGATGTAGGTACATGGAATACTTCCTGCCATTGAAGAATATTTGGAACTCTACAGAACTGTCATTCAAGATCAAAGCCAGGATTTCCAACGTGTCAAAGCGTCAAAACAGAATTATTAAACGGAGCCTAGAAATAGAGGACTACTACAACTTTTCCAAGTAAGGTACATATATTTATAAATAGCCTTCTGCCCACAATACATCAGATCCGTTAGTCAGAGCCCATCAATAATAACCAACTATTTCAGATAACAATCAAACTACCGGTTGAAGAGAAAATGGGGAAAAGATGTTTGAGGTGGGTCGAACACGGATAATGGAAACCTCTCATCAACATCATGAGACAAGCTCTAAACTGAAATCCTCAGCTGAACAGAAAAGCCCATGACAAGGTTGGTTGGAGATCATTGGTACGGCCAAGAGTGGGGAGAGCCCGTTCTTCCACTCCAAATTCTCCAACATGGCCACGCGTATATAGCCTCAGCCAGGGAAGTCCTACTCACTGCATTCTCGTCACATTACTGTTGTTTACGAAATCAAGAGGACAAAAAGCGAATGTCCGGCGCTTTAGCCGGGCCGGTGGACACGGTGGGTCCACCTAGGGGAGTTGGAAAACCCTCATTCCAAACCAATGGTGCACATGGGCTCCAGTATCCTGAAGGAACAAGTGGCATATGAACCTAAGGTTGGTCACCGGCTTCCATGGGACTGCATCTCCTCACGATGCTCCACTGTCTTATGGATCAGACCTTCAGACCGAAGGCTCCGAGTGTGGCCCGCTAAGAAAACCACCTGCTTCGGTTTGGGCACCCGAGTAATATCACAGCCTTCACACATATCAAATGAGATTGTGTTGCACATATGTATTTGGTGCCTCCTTGTACCAATATCTATGTGTTAAAATAAATAAACTGGTCGGAAGCATATGTCCCAAGGGCATTACCAGGCTGTGATGATTAGAAGTATTCGAATTAATTTACTAACTAGGAATTCCCGAAATAGTGCAATTTAGGACAGGTACAATTAGGTGAGCACAAGTAAACGTACTACATCTGGGATTCGGACAATCAAGTACGAAGGAATCATTGAATGACACGACTCAAAATCGTTTACCGTGTTGTAAGTGCACTCACCCTTTGTCGTCCCTGAAATCCTGAGCTTTTGAATTCTCTATAACTTTTTTGTTTCACTAATTTATATTTTCTCGAATGGTATCTTTGATGTCTAATCTTTTCTATCACCATTCATACTATTATTACCTCTAATATTCTGGGATTTACCTCGATAATTTCATCTCTCTGTGCTTATGGGGTATGACACCTTGAACCCACATACATAACTGTCAGGTTTTACGTTGTGATGACGAAGACCCTCTTTACCCTCGAGTTTTGTCGGCGAAGATGGTAAATCGTTTGCTAAGATTATGAATCTGAATTAACTGAGGTGGTTAAGACATGTATTACTTATCAACAACGAACGCTCGGTTTCCTTGTGTAGGTCTAGATTAGAAGAAAGCGAAGAGTGGACAAACCAAAACATGGTGTCAGTTTATGAAGTCATCAATATTTGGTTTGAGCCGTGTTGGTAAGTTTCAGACTATTTCCTAGGAATGGATGAGGTTATCATATTTATGGGTGGTGACCGACTGACGAGTTCTATGAGGTCAGTCTCTTACAAAGTATGCTGCAAAGTAAACATTTCTATTTGATGTGCTAATTAAGATTCTATTTTTATGTTGATAATAAATTGGTAATTGTGGTTTTAAAAACTCAAGCTAGCATCTACTATAAGCAATAATAAATTCCAACTTAAGCAACAATACTTAAAATAAAGTGAATTTATTTGCTTGATACAATGAAAACTAAGTCGACAGAAAGAAAACAACAAAATTAGAAAACTTGTGTCAGTATATATAGTAAAGGTGATTGTTTTCACGTGTAATACATAATCCCACCTAACAATGAGTAATGCTGTTTTTGCCGTAAAATAAAGGCTAAGTGACTATTATATATATCGACAAAAAATGGTCATGATCCACTTAGTAGTATCCTGAGAATTGCAGAGATTATATGAAACTATTATCATTATATAATTTAAGAAAAAGCTTGTAAAGTATTTACTTCTACGAAGTTCAATATACAAAAACCGACTAAAATTAGTATAAAAAAAGATCGGATTCTACTCATTTGTTAGATGATGACTCATTGAGATGAAATGAAACAATTTCGTCCTATTGGAATGCAATTGCTAAGCGTAAACAGTAGGCCATAGAATCATTTGAGTGCAAAGAAGAATCAATATGACAATTTTTAATGTACAGACAGTTGAGATGGTTGGAACATGTGTTATGTATGCCCAACCACCGACTGCAACGACATGCGGTGTTTTATAGTGTAGGTGTAGGTTGGGAGAAATCTAGGGGCGGCCAGACCAAAACATGGCACAAATCCATGAAGCCACTGACAAGTGGACTGAGCCACGTTGGTAGGTGTAAACTACCTGGTTGGGATCCGCGAGATGATAGTAACCGATGTTTAGATACGTTGAGTGACATGGATCAAAATTGTTTGCAATGGCGCAGGTGCATACACTCTTTGTGTTCTCCCAAATTCTAATCTTCTGAATTCTTCATCTCCCTTTCTTTTCTCTCTATCCAAATTTATTTCACTGGATTATACTCATTGAATAACATCTTCAAACCCTAATCTTTCCGACTACTGCTTATACTTTTACTACCTCTAGTACTATGGGATTTGAATCGACAACTGCGTCTCTTTACTAATGTGGTATGGCAACTCGAACTGATGTACGTACGTACGAAGTTCTACGTTGGTGCCGACTGACTGATAGACAAAACCCAATGTACACGAATTAGCCTGGCTACTAATGATACATTACAGACCCTTCTTTATTTAAATAATAGATATGCCTAATCGTCGTTTTGAACATCGAGTACGAGTAACAATGTGGCCGTCAAATATAATAAGAATTCTCTAGTACGGAATTTGGATAACCTATATATAAATACTTTTGAATGCTTAAGCATGTTATTTACTTGATTAAACAAGTTTGCTTTTTACAGGCGAAGTGCAAAACAGGTAGACTCACTTCAAACGAGTTTCCATCTCTGATTTGTTGGTTAATGGAACCATAATCCTGTAAAATGTACACAACAGTACAAGATAATACGATACGCAAAAGCAGAATTTACTAATTTGATAAAAAATCGCTAGCAAGATAAACTGTAACTCGGTTGCCAAATACAGGTTTATTCATCAACTGACCTTGAGTAACGGTCGTGTCAAGAATAGTAATATTACCCGAATGCCCAAGCAGTAGTTGCAATGCAGTTCGAATCTGTGACCCGATGGATGAAAGCTAGGCAGTCTAATCATTAAAACATCACTGTATGGTTAAGAAGGTGACAGTCCGTCCGTCCGATATTTCGGATCGATATGAGGTGGACAAAGGACAAATTAAAACCCGACTTTTAAAAAAGCCCCACACACAATAAAAACTGGACAGACAGATAGCATGTTTATATTTCCAGTCCGTATAATACCATACCCATACGAAATAAACGAGGCTATAATGGTTATCGATTCTCATACTACGACCCAGATACTCTTATTGCTTAGTAATCTTGGACACTAATTCACTCGACAAGTCCCAAATCAGAACACGGTTGAACAAGAACATAATTTTATCTAAAATAACGGGGTTGGATGGAAGTAAGAATCACAATAAGAAAAATGTTAGTATATTTATATTTTTACATAAGATTTTAGAGTTCTCTCCAACTATTCGCCACCGCTGAGTGGTTAAGAAGTAGCCAATCAACGTGCCCCAACACAATCTTGCACGGAACGTGCTCTAATCCAATCTACATCCCGCTAATAATAATTCACAGGCATCATGAACTATTGGTACTAAATGATAACCACAGATCATTAAACATGCAATATATTTAACAATTCGTAGGTAAGTCAACATCTTAGTCCCTATGACAAAAATAATAACATCGAAACCATATATGTTAACCAACATAAAATTACAGTGGTATGTATGTGTTCACCCACCCTTGATTGCAAATCATGATTGCTCCTCCCTATGTACGTGTCCTGCACATACATGTAAATTGATAAACGGAGAGTTAAATTAGCCATCAACCGGACATTTTATGCAGCCCAATTCGTCATTATTGAAAAGACAAGGTGCATGTTTCATCAAAAGCCCAAATAGCATGTAAGGGATTGTGTCACATTCCATGGATGGATAGACACAAAGACTGTATTCATTGAAGTTATATGTAGCATGACTTCAATGAAAACAGTCTTTGTGTCTATCCATCCATGGAATGTGACACAATCCCTTACATGCTATTTGGGCTTTTGATGAAACATGCACCTTGTCTTTTCAATAATGACGAATTGGGCTGCATAAAATGTCCGGTTGATGGCTAATTTAACTCTCCGTTTATCAATTTACATGTATGTGCAGGACACGTACATAGGGAGGAGCAATCATGATTTGCAATCAAGGGTGGGTGAAAACATGCCAAAATGGTTGCAGGAACAAATGAATTCCAATGGTCACAGGATAGACAGATATCATCCTCCATTACGAAACATTTCATTGAGACTGGTCATAAGGTTGACATTAAGTCAGCATTTGTAGTGTTGTACAAAAGCCTTCAAGGACGTATGCTAAGGTTTATTGAAGCCTTAGCTATACGAAAACTGAAACCCCTTTCATGAGTTCGAAAAATATTTGTCCTTACCCTTAACCTACCTTGATAATACTGATTTATTATCCAGAGTGGTTATCACATTTTTGTGTATTTTATTATTTTTTTGTTACGGCTTACCTTTAACCTGTCTAGTTGACCTCATAATTTTCACATAAAAATGTCATAACAAGTATATATGTGATCAGATTGTTCGAAATGTATTGCGCAAATATATCACATAATTCTGATAAGCTTCGTCTTCTCATTGCATTATCGAAATGCTCGAATTGACAATCTAAAACACTTAATATAGTTCAAATAATTTTGATAATTATTGTCATGATCTTATGCGAAAACTTTACTCATAATGATATGATGCGAAGTTCTACGTTGTTGCCGACTGACTGACTGACTTACTACATATAACCATTAAATCTATCGAAGTATAGGGCAAATATGTTTGCAAAACCACAGCCTAAATAAAACCAAATCATTTAATTTCCTGTTTAAATTGATTCGACGTTGATCAAGTAGGGTGGTGTCCTTAATATAAACGTGATTATGTGTACAAATTTACTCTATGTAATGATTCAATAAATACGTAAGTGATTAGATCCATATTTGACTATTTCCATATATTTTTCTAGGTAATTTTGATTCCATTATACATTAAGAATTTAATTGACGGTAGCCAAACTGCTGGGGTTTCAAGTTTGCACTGACTGAATTAGCCTGGATATGATGTTTTACATATCGAATTATTTGAACACATAAATATTGGTACAAAGAAACACCGTATACATATGTGCCACACAAGTCACTTCATTTGTGTGTGGGCTGCGATAATGCCTGGGTACCCAGACTGAAGCAGGTGGTTTTCTCAGGGGAATATACCCGGAGCCATCGACCCAAAGGTCTGATCAACAAGGCAACGGAACAACGTTAGGATAGGTAGTTTAATGGTAACCGGCGAACAACAATGAGTCATCCGTTGTCTCAGAATCCTGGAGCTCCGACGCACCACTGGTTTGGAATCAAAGTTTTCCAACTCCCATAGGTGGATCCTCCATATCTACCAACCCAGTAAAAGCGCCGGATATTCGCTTTTCTTCCTCTGAATTTCGTAAACAACACCCCTGCCGCGAGAAGGATTTCCCTGACAGTGGCTGTATACGCGTGGCCATGCGAGAGCATTTCAAGAGGGAGAGCGGACTTCCCCACTCTCGGCCGTACCAGGCCGTCTAGGGGCTAAATATCAAACCATCTCTTAAAACTAGTAACACTGATTGACGTACAATCAAATTGGGAAATTGTTAAGGAGTTAGTCAATAGGAAACCCTGGACCCAGGTTTCGTGCTACTTGGCACTCGTCAGCAAGGTGTACCTGTAATCTTGAGGGACCTGGTGCTCCCTGGCGGATTCGATCTCGTGTCACCCAGCTTCACAGTCAGAGACGTTACCACTGAGCTATCCGAGCCCTGACTAACCTCCTGTAGGACTGAGATGTAATCACAATTGATTGATCACTGGGTGGTGATCAATGTCATGCTTGTCTAGTCCTTATTAGTGCAGATCGAATGCTATCGATCATGTTGCAATGTGGCCACCAGTCTAGGTGACTTGACACTGCGGGCACTATGTATTGAGATTTAGATAGTAGTTGGAGGTAGTCAACAGGAAACCTTCACAGGATGAATGGAGTAACTGTTTAAATGACTCAGCTTTCAATAAGGCTTGAAACGCCACTCTACTCTGAGTTTAAGGAGCAAGGTATTATTATCGTTAGCTCTCAAAGTCTGTTGCCTCCCGATAAGAATAATGAGTAGTAATTTTTTGGGATCTATTTATGGACCAATACTGTGAGTATAATTGTTAAATAACTTAACTTTTCATATTCATGTCTCTCTTATCATAAGCTTTATTTTAACCTATGAACTGTTATTATACGATTTTCCATTCTTGAATTATTCCCTGTCTATTAATCTATACCTCCCACATTCACAGCCACATTTGGCCAAATCTTGTACAACTGTTGTTTTCTATTTTATGATACGATGTGGTCTGCTTGATTGGTATATAAACAGAGTATGTTTGAAATACATGATTCATATTGCAGAGGCTTAGACTTGTGTTCTGGACTTAACTGGCTGGGCTAGGCAGGAAGCAGGACCAATCAGAACTCTAGGTTGCTCGCACGTGTTTTACACGCCTTAGTCCGATCGGTAATTCGCTGCTTCTGATTGGCGGCTTTGGGCTATAACACAGACATACACGCGGCTTGCCACAAACCCGACTAAATAGATCTAAAATTAGTAAAAGGATTACATTCACTATAAAATGCTCTTCATGATTAGTGAAACACTCTATTAGGAACATTTTAATACACAATGAAAAAAACATTTGTAACTTTCTATTATCACTTTAAACGGTTAAGTGCAAGTTACTGTACATTGGAAGTTCAAAAAAATTTTTAAAAAAAGACATTTTTCAAATATATTTAAAGTGCTTAAACATACACTTGCGTTATGCTGGACAGGAAGTTGAACTTCAACACATTCAGGATCTAAATATAAAAGAATATATGTATGATATGACTCCGATTAATATTTGGATATTGTGGATCATAGCACCGAGTACACGAGTTTATACTTGGTAAATTTGTACGATAGTGAAAGTATATGTAATTAACCACTGAGCATAGGCAAATAGGCACTCAACTTACAAATAAACGAACAAAATCTCGAACTATTTTTCTAGTCGATAGGGTATGAACAAGTGATATGGCCTACTGAAACCGTAAACACTTTTTATCTATTACCGATGACATGAAATTGAGAAACAAAAATTAACTGGTCTTCTTTGAGATAACAGAGACCTAACTGGGAATTAGATTACACGTCAATGAATATAATACCTGAACGGCAATATAAACAAAGTTGGTCAGAATCAGGGCCATTGTATAGTGTTGTGTAATTTAAAGCATTAGCCTCACGTGAATAACACAGTTATCTTACATGACTAACTTAATAGCAGTTAGCGTAACTCACATGCTAACTTACCAATTCTATACTTATTTTCCTTGTCCTAATTCCGCTACAAAGACGGTCTATTGGTTTAAAGACTGTCATTTTGAGGTGTATTAACAAGCCAGTATTTGAAGACGATATGAGTAACGTGGAATAAAATTTACACAACGATTCATGAACACTATTTAAGAACTCGTACTTTTTCTTGCATCCTGTTAAGAACTGTGATCACCTGAGCAGATGGAGTACTAAGTGATTTCTTACATCGTTTATTGTGAGTCCCTAAATCCAGTGATTCAAACTTCATTGGGATAAACAATAGAATGCATACGTTGTTAACCTATTAAAACGGATGCTTGGAGTTAATTTCTCAAAGTTAGTGGAGTCATCAGTCGCCGGTGATAAGCAAGGTTTTTCCTATCTACTATATCCACAATTCAAAAATATAAAGATTGTGATATTCTAATTCACTTCGCTATTATCCAGACTCGCAAATCGTATCATCAAAATTAGAATAAATCAAACCGATCTGGTGATTGTTTACAGTTCATCTATTTAGATAACAGTATCCTAAAAAGTAATTTGCTACGAAGCTAGTACCAATTTATGTCAAACCGAATTTCAAGAAAAACAAGAGCTTTACAAAAACACGATTATGTAACTCATACCTTGAACCCCACTAGATTTTAAAAAATGTATAATACGAAAACAAAACAAAAACCTATGTAAATGATAAAAAGCGACCAAGAGTAAGAATACTGATGAATTCAATATGATGATCATTGAGTTTAGCATCCGGATAAATTTCGACAAATTCAGTTACTAATGTTGTGGTCAGGATGTAAGCAAAGCATACAAACGATCTTAAATCACTTTTTTAGCCAACGACAACACAATGTTTGGTTACGAATTGATTTATGATTAAAAAGGTAATATGATTATAATAGATTCAGCAACAAGAATAAATATTTATATATGAATCACTAAGATTTTTACTCCGAACTGATATCAATCATAATCCAAGAATAAATTCCGCTAAGTTAATATTTAAATGCAAATAGTAATTACTGAAAAGGAAATCTATACATCAACAGTAGCATTCCTCCGTCAAGTGTATTTTACTGCAGTCGCAGGTCAAACTTTGTCTTTTTGAATTGTGGACGCATAGCGTTGTTGGGTTAACTCAATCCGATCAATTTGCATTTACTGAGTTAACCCTTTCCACCACTATTGTGTCGATATTTCCGAAGTGCGTAGCGAGTTTTCAACAATAAAACACATCACACAAAGGCTCAAATCGAGTGTTAAAAAACAAAGTAAACTTACACGGTACAAGAAACAGATAAATTGGTAAGCTGAGAAGTCCAATTATTAATCCTGGAATAACAAATGACCATCCCCAAGCTATTTCTACAAAGGCACCAGCAACTAAGGAGCCCAAAATGTTTCCAATGCTAGAATGCGCTGTCCAAACTCCCATAAAAAATCCTCTCCTGAAAATTAAGGTAAAAATAAATGGAAGTTATACTGTAGTGAATAGAACACGGGTGGGGACAATCGGATGTATTTAACACAAAATTACAGGACTTGTTAATAAAATCTAGCAATCATAAAGTAAATACCTAATTTGCAAAATGTCCGCCAATTGTCTCAAAATGACACCGACTTCATTGTTCTTGCATTTGCATACAAATTGCATCCTGTTTCCATTCTTCACTGTTCGATCCTCTTGTCTCTCTGCTGCCAGACCTTCCATTCACAACCAACATCTTATAAGTAGCACACACCACGATACTACTAACTTCCATAGTCTCAGATAGAAATACCCTAGGATCTAGCATAAAAGCATATCAGTTCATTTCCGACACTAAGCACCAATCAATCGACAAGCATGAAGAAAGTGGTGCCCGAAATAATAATAATAACAATAATGGTAGCAGTAATAATGATGATAGTAACAACAATAATAGTAGTAGTAACAATAACGGTAATAATAATAATAGTAATGACGATAATAATAATAAAAATAGTAATAGTAGCAACAGTAATAGCAATAATAGCAGTAGTAGTGTTAGCGGGACATAGACTAGATTAAAGCATGCTCAATCCATGATTGCTTCGGTGCACGCTGATTGGCTAATTCTTATCCAATCAGCACTAGTCGATAGTTGGAGAATACTCTGGAATCTTCTTACGTAAAAACTATAAATATACTGACGTTTTCCCTATTGCGCTTCTGACTTGCTTCTTGCTTCCATCTAACCTTGTTATTTGGAATATAATCTCCTTCCTGTTCAACCGTGTTCTGATTTGGGGACTTGTCCAGTGAATCGGTGTCCAAGAATACTAAGCAATAGGAATAGCTGGGTCATAACCGTAAGAAGAGATTATAACAAGTAGTAATAATGATAATCATAATAATAAATAACCCAAATAAAAAAGGCTAAGACTAAATACTACATCTATGATCTAAACCAATAAAAAGTAGATGGGTCTGAACTATTTAGGTTACTTACGCATCTCGATAATGCAATGAGAAGACGTAGTTTATCATAATTCTGATAAACTACGTCTTCTCATTGCATTATCGAAATTTATCAAAGGGACTAATTGTTTTAAATTACTTATGCATCGTTTCATATAATATCTCTAACTAATAATTTTGTTGTCACCAATCAAGAAGCTTATACAACCCCTGAATGGTACACACCAAGGGGTGATGACCAAATAGAATGATGATAGCAAGTCTTCGTTTTCCCAAGGTTAGACATTTCCCAATACATTACTGTACCGGCTAACATAACACGCTTAATTAAAGCATTCATCACACGTTTCTCTTATTCCTACCGATTAACTGAATGAAGAATAAAGTCTAATTTGAGGATCCCAATCTATGTGACTATCAAAAAGTGATGTTAATATATTTTAACAATAATAGATTGCATAGTAATCGTACATAGCAATAGTTATGGTGGAGTTTTGTTCTCTAAGCTGGATGGTTTGGTCGTGGAGCTTTCATCGTTCTTCTGAACGACATCATCAGCACAAACTTCAGATAGAAGTCTGAAGTTTGTGCTGATGATGTCGTTCAGAAGAACGATGAAAGCTCCACGACCAAACCATCCAGCTTAGAGAACAAAACTTTACCAAAATCATCCACCTGAGCTACAAATCTTCTCCATCATCTCAAAATAGCATTAGTTACCTTATAATAAATACTGTTGTTATGCTAATAATAATGCGGTTCAAATAAGAAGTAAAGTTTTACAAACTCAACTTCAAGCCACATTGCTGTCGAAAACGAAGTAGGTAGAGCAAAGGTTGAACCTATGACCTACTGTTTGAAAACCCCATACTTTATAACATAAAGTCACCACTACCTCACTTATTTCAGTAAAAGGGATTATAGTCCCTCAGAGAATGAATAAACCTGTATCCTGAAATAAAAGTAGACAGCTGTTTAATTATAGCTTTTTTATTGTATCCTGCGATGATAAACAGCTGAACGTAGAATGAAGTAACAATAATAATCTGAATAGCTAAAAGAAAACACTGGTTGTTTTATGTGTTGGATTTGGAAATCCATTTCGGTATGGATTCATGTCTGAGGCTTCGAGTTCCACTCTAAGTGTGAGGAGCAACAATACTAACCGATTCCCTAGACCCAAGTAAGTGCAGCTGGGTTTGGACGAATACCTTGGCTACAGTTGAATGCTTTAACCGTTGTTCCAATTTACAATGATAAATATACCCTGTAAAAGGATAATTTTAAATATGTGATGTGCAGTAATGAAAGTAAGACAGGAATGACCATTGACAATGGACTAAGACACTAATTACTGAATATGATTACCTTCATATTACTGGTTTCTACTTTGGACTCATCAAGTGACTGCTTGTAATTACGTTGAATAAGGTATTGTCTGGTGTATTAACCGGGTTTTCTATTATAATCGTGAATCAGGTATTTGGTATAAGGTGATCAAGTTTGTGTATATATAGTATTATTATTACTATTTGGAAACAAATATTGGTACAAAAAGGGATCAAAATAAACATGAACCACATAATACGAAAATAAGATTGTGAAGGGATAAAGGAAGGAAGGTGAGCGTAATAAAAAACACAAAATAAATAAGTGGATGGAAGTGAAAAAAAAAATACCAATGAGAGCAGTTTAGTTAAGAAAAATACAACCAGAAGGGATTCTTTCAGTCAAATAAGTTTCTCTTACACATATAAAGAAAGTTATAGCAGAAACGCCACTGACTTCTATTCCGAGCCATATCCGGAAACATCCCAAACTAGTGTCGCATTATCTCCAGGACCGCAACTAGAGCCGTGAAAGACCAAAGATGCTAGTCCCGTACAGCTTTCCTTTATACCACGACACTATGTCATACACGGAACACTCTTCCGCCTTTTCCAAACATTTCCAGTGACGGCAAATAATCCACGATGTGGAATTCTCTGGGATGATAATCGTAGTGCACGTTCAAGCCACCGAAGTCGATCTTTCAAGATGGTGATACTAATTGAGTTGTCGTCACCGTGAACGAACACACGTCGCCGAACTTCCGCATAACTAACATGGTGTTACCACTGAATGTCAGAAATCCTTTAGAGATAGTAATTATCAAACACAGAGTTCCTTAACATCCTCAACCCGGACAGGCACGTTTTCCTCAAGATGTTAATAAATCTCTTAACCACACCCTTCTTGGAAAGACAATCCCAGAGGACAGTTCAGTCCAACGAATCGAAAGCGGCCATGATATCAAGAAAAACCGAAATTGTTGGCCTGCAATAAGTTTGGCAGTGTTCTAAAATTTGGCGGAGAGTGAAGATATGATCAACACATTCTCGATCAGGACAAAAACCACCATGCTGTTTGTGAATTAACCTTACATTGGTTTTGAATGATCTACAAAGTATGACGGAAGCCAATAAATAAGAGTCCAAAATCGAAAGTAGACTTATCCCCCACTAGTTGTTGCATAGTTGAAGTAAACCTTTTTTTAAAGATATGGACGACAGTTGTCCCATTCCAGAATTTTGGGACATATTCTGGTTCCAAAACCTTTGCAAATAACCCAGTTTCTTAACCAGAAGTTCGCCATCATCCTTAAAAATGGTCGGACGTAAATCATCTGAGTCTGGCAATTCATAGTGCTTCCAGGAGTTGAAGTTACGTGTGGACTTCCGCCTCCTTAGGTGAATTAGTTGAGACTGGCCAGAAAGGAAAGAACAGTTTGGTTGATGTCTCCTGGGCAGCAGACCACCTGGACTGTTTATCGAATAACTTTTTCCATCATCCAAGACGTTAGATGTTATTGATTAGCGTACTATCAGCTTCACAAACTGTTTCACTCACACTAGACTTCTTGAGTTCAGTGGCTCGGGTGAGTTGAAAGAGCTTCCGGCAGTTGCCAGATGCAGCTGCTGCTTCCAACTCCATAACACACTCCGACCACTAGGCTCCTAGGTCCTTAAGCACATTTTCCACAATTTAATTACGTAAGGAATTACGTTTATCATTAAACTAGAGGTTAGCCGTAGGCCAACGTGCCTCAAGCTGTAAGGAGCCTGTAAAAACCCAGTGCCTAAAACCGGGACGCTTCGTGAAGCCACAAGCAACTTTATTCGTCACTGTCATGACGTCATGTGCTCATCTATGCTTTACGATATATTGATAACAAGTCTCGAACCTAGCTCGCCTTAACATTCGGGTACAGAAAATGTGTTTATACAAATTCTATGAATTTACAGGCCACTGAAACGTAAAATAAGACTGGAGAAAAGAGGTCATGATCAGAGTCCAGATAAGTGCATTTAAGAGAGCAGCAGTCCGATATACAACCACAACATCAAGAACTAGTCGCGATATAATCAATCTGAGTCCAGGCTCGAGTTGAGGAGAAATTACGTCACGCAACATGACGGAGATGATTGTGTCGATTGTTAGTGCCAACCAGAAACAGGTTGTAGTCTCCACAAAGCTGCAGGAGACGGTCGCTGCTATTTGACCTGTGACCAGCAAGTCCCTACTGGCCATCTAGAGGGCTCTACTCTGTGCCTAAACACCCTATCTGGATATTTGAATTTCCAGTTAATAATACAGTATCTGTCGAACGAGCTTTCTTGAGTAGACCATTTAACTGGTGATAGAACTGATCCTTGATTGTATTTGGGTTGCAATCTGTCGGGGTGTAGGCAAACATTACGAAAGACATCGTTCTTCCCATTTTGATCTAATAACAGATAATCGACTGTTAATAGGGATCCAATCTATTAGTGCTGCATCTGTTCTGGAGCGTAGTGTGACACAAAGGCCAACAAAACCGGACGAAGATCCCACAGTCTCCAGAAAAACGTATACAAAACAAGTCTCTTGATTTATGAAATGGAGATCAAATGTGTAGTATTTCACTAGAATCTTGAATACAGGTTTCTGATAGACAACCGACGTCGGTGTTAAGATATTTAAAGACAGATTCAAACCCATATCTATTATCCGACATGCGTTAGTGTAGAAAACTAGTCTGAAAAGTACGCATAGTTTAAGAAAGAATGGTTGAGAAGTTGTAATCGGTGGCAGCATTCAACTTATGACCAGTGAGTGACTTGAGACCATTCAGACAAGACAGAATTTTCACCACAAGTGAGCTATTGCGTGAGTTGGAAAATAAAAGTAAACATAGAATGGGGACAGTAAGGAATAGAAGGATAAGGGAGTATACAATGATTTTGTATGTCATTAAGTACTTACGATAATTGTTTAAGAAGGTAAAGAAAGTCACTCCCCGAGCCCTTGACCTAGAGGTCTAATCCACAATGCAGTGAAACTGAGTCAGATGCGATCTTATGGTAATCACTAGCCAAGAATAAGTTCATCCACCACTCGACCTCCCAGGGTCCTGAAGCCTGTGTACACCTCTGACTTGGAATCAGGTTTTGCAAACTTCTTTAGGTGGATCCGCCGTACCCACCAAATCGGTTTAGCCTCCAGATATTCACTTTCTGTCCTCTCACTTCCGTAAACAACTCCACCGCGGCGAGAAAGCAGTGAGTAGAAATTTCCCGGCAGTGGCTTTATTTGTGTGGTTATATGAGAGAATTTTGAGAGGGAGAGCGAACTCTCTCCACCCTTAGCCGTACCTGGGGATTTGGGGGCAAACATCAATTCAGCATCTAGTCTAATGGTAGCATAATATCGGTCACCAGTCTCATTATCGTACAGTAGAAATGTATCATAGAGGGGAAGAAATATTTCTATTTGACCGTTATATCATTCTGTATTCAGGAGAACCACACACTATTCAAGCTCTTTACAACCTGAACAGCACAGCTCAATCCGGTGGCGTAATCATACAGGTATCAAAAACCTTGGTGGACCAATTCGAAAAGTATATGGGTTTTCTAAATATAGAAACGTAGACGTCAAGGCATAATATTAGTACATTTCTGTGATGCAGGACTGTAGAAAAGAAAAAAAATGGTAAAGCTGCTTACTTATTTTTACCAAACCAATTCCCCATACAAGCTACAACTGCCGGCCAACCGGATGCTTGAACTATTCCAGCAACACCCTAAAAAATATCAGCGTACAATATTGCAAAGATTGGAAAACATTATGTTGTTCATAATTAAGAAATTATGGGAACTTGAAAGTTTCAATTTCAACATCGCTTTTTAAATAATAAATGGCGAATGTTATGCAGATAAGAATCCACACTTTTCAAGAAGACTTAAAATTAGTCTCCGAAGGAAGTGAACATAGAGGAAGATTAATCAAATGATGCATTGATGTTACAAACAAGCTATTAATCTTATCTTTGTTCTTATAAGGATATGTAGCAACAACAGTGAATTATTGTAGAATTTTGAATTTAGTAATAGGATATTTCAATATGACCATGAACCTTTATAAAGTTTATTTATGTTAGAGCTTGGTTTCTGTTATGATGGACAGATAATTGACAGGTATTTGAATTATTAGATATTCAATGAACTTTGGATACCTGGACCTAGCAACAAGCCATATATATATCAAAAGACTTGGATAAAATGTCACTATAAGTCGTGTGCGTCGTATTTTATTGAGAAAATGGGCTTAATGGTAATAATCAAAGACCAGAAGAATGTATTGTAAACGTTAGATTGTAAAATCACACCACGGCAATCAGTATTTGAACATACTAAAGAGGAATCTCTGTACTCATGTAATTTATGGAGTAGACGTGTACGTATAGTTAAAATACGTGTAAACTTGGTAGTGTGAAAGCATTAAGCCCAACGCTAATTCACCGGAAATTAATGATCTACAAATATGAAATCCTCTAACCGCCTATAGTATCTAATCATGTTGCTTCCGCGTTCATATTCTGTGTATAGGCATATCATATTACTGAATGGAAAACCAGTTTATCTGGTTGGTAACCTTGCCTTTAAAACCATTTTATACAGAGATTCAGACAGATAATCAAGTCTAGAGAGAAACTGATTTGCAGACACATAGTATCACTAGATTCCATATATCTCTGTGTGTTAAATTCATTTTAACGAATCCAGACACGTTCATTGTCATCACACAGCGAACCGAAGCAAGTGAGAATTAAGAATCAGAAGAATTTGCGGGTAAACATTTTCTTGACGTTTTATCACCCACCCGCCTGTAGCTCCTATAGGGTTGCTGCCGGTCCCAAGCCCGGGTAAAGGAGGAGGGTTGGGCATGGGGTTAGCGTCCCCATCCCGTAGAAAACTAACTCGCTAAAAAAACGCTTACCAGAAAAAATAATCCAAACCATTTTAACTCTGCCCTGGGAGTTAGAAGGTCTTCATTTAGAAGAATTATGACGCTTCATGGTGAAAGCCGAGTTCCTTCGGAAGCCGTGAGGCCGATGCCCCTTCTAACAACCAGAGCAAAAAATTTTATAGGTACATGGAACGTTCGAACAATGTGGGAAACCGGGAAGACCAGTCAAATAGCAATGGAAATGAGGAGATACGACTTAGCAGTACTGGGAATCAGCGAAACCCACTGGACCCAAGCTGGACAGAAAAAGCTAGCTACGGGAGAGATGCTGCTATACTCCGGTCACGAAGAGGACAATGCTCCACACACTCAGGGAGTCGCTCTTATGCTGTCCAAAGTAGCACGAAATGCACTTGTAGGATGGGAATCTCACGGATCCAGAATCATCAAAGCATCATTCAAAACAAAGAAGGAGGGGATCTTAATGAATATTATCCAATGTTATGCACCCACCAATGATAGCAACGACGAAATTAAAGATCAGTTCTACGAGCGGCTGCAGTCAATCATTGAGAAATGCCCTAACTATTCTGATGGGAGATCTAAATGCCAAAGTCGGAATAGACAACACTGGATATGAAGATATTATGGGACGACATGGACTGGGAGAAAGAAACGAAAATGGAGAAAGATTTGCAAATCTATGTGCATTCAACAAATTGGTCATAGGAGGCACAATATTTCCACACAAGCGTATACACAAGGCTACATGGATCTCACCGGACCACACTACAGAGAAGCAAATAGATCATATTTGCATCAACAAAACATTCCGAAGGACAACGGAAGATGTGAGAACCAGGAGAGGTGCTGACGTAGCTTCAGATCATCACCTAGTTGTAGCCAATTTAAAACTGAAGCTAAAAAAGAACTGGACAAGTGGACAAACAGCAATACAAAGGTTCAATACTACCTTCCTTCGAGATACTGACAAACTCAATGAATTCAAGATAGCTCTCAACAACAGGTTCCAAGCCTTACAAGATCTACTGAAAGAAGAAGAAACTACTATGGAGGACAACTGGAAAGGCATCAAGGAAGCATTAACTTCAACGTGTCAAGAGGTTCTCGGTCTAAAGAAATACCATCATAAGGAATGGATCTCTATAGAAACACTGGACAAGATCAAAGAAAGGAAGAACAAGAAGGCAGTAATAAACAACAGCCGAACACGAGCAGAGAAAGTCCAGGTGCAAGCTGAATACTTAGAAGCAAACAAACAAGTGAAGAGGAGCATTAGAGCCGACAAGAAGAAATACGTTGAAGAACTAGCAACGACGGCAGAAAAAGCTGCTAGAGAAGGAAATATGAAACAGCTTCACAATACAACGAAGAAACTAGCAGGGAAATACAGTAAACCAGAGAGGCCGGTCAAAGACAAAGAAGGCAGGAAAATCACCGAAATTCAACAACAGCGTAACAGATGGGTAGAATACTTCAAGGAACTCCTGAATAGGCCGACTCCAATGAATCCACCGGGCGTCGAAGCAGCACACATAGATCTTCCTATAGATGTCAATCCACCAACTACGGAAGAAATTAGAATGGCCGTCAGACAAATCAAGAACGGGAAAGCAGCAGGACCCGACAACATACCAGCCGAAGCACTGAAATCAGACATCGAAGCAACCACAAGTATGCTTTATCTTCTATTCAAAAAGATTTGGGAGGAAGAACAAGTGCCGATGGACTGGAAAGAGGGACACCTCGTCAAGATTCCAAAGAAAGATCTGAGCAAATGTGAAAACTACAGAGGCATTACACTACTGTCAATACCAGGGAAAGTCTTCAACAGAGTGTTGCTGAACCGGATGAAGGATGCAGTAGACGCCCAACTTCGAGATCAACAAGCTGGATTCCGTAGGGATCGGTCGTGCACAGACCAAATTGCAACACTACGGATCATCGTCGAACAATCAGTTGAGTGGAACTCATCATTATACATCAACTTCATTGATTATGAAAAGGCATTCGACAGTGTGGATAGGAGGACATTATGGAAACTTCTTCGACACTACGGAGTTCCTGAGAAGATTGTCAATATTATCCGGAACTCATACGACGGACTACAGTGCAAAGTAGTGCATGGAGGACAGCTGACAGATGCATTCCAAGTAAGGACCGGAGTCAGACAAGGCTGTTTACTCTCTCCCTTCCTCTTTCTTCTGGTGGTCGACTGGATTATGAAGACCTCAACATCTGAAGGAAAACACGGAATACAATGGACAGCTCAGAACCAATTAGACGATTTGGACTTCGCAGATGACCTAGCCCTCCTATCACGTACACACGAACAGATGCAGATGAAGACACCCAGTGTAGCAGCAGTCTCCGAATCAGTAGGCCTCAACATACACAAAGGGAAAACTAAGGTCCTCAAATGCAAAGCGGAGAACAGCAATCCAATCACAGTTGATGGCAAAACTCTGGAAGATGTAGAGTCCTTCACATACCTGGGAAGCATCATCGATGAACAAGGAGGATCCGATGCAGACGTAAAGGCGAGGATCGGCAAAGCAAGGGTCGCATTCCTACAATTGAAGAACATATGGAACTCAAAACAACTTTCAACCAATATCAAAGTAAGAATCTTCAATACGAACGTCAAGGCAGTTCTACTGTATGGAGCTGAAACTTGGAGAACTACAACAACCACAATCAAGAAAGTACAAGTATTTATAAATAGCTGTCTACGCAAGATACTCAACATCCATTGGCCGGATACCATCAGCAATAGCCTTCTGTGGGAGAGAACAAACCAACTTCCAGCTGAAGAATAAATTAGGAAAAGACGATGGAAATGGATAGGACAAACATTACGCAAATCGTCAAACTGCATCACGAGGCAAGCCCTAACTTGGAATCCTGAAGGGAAGCGAAAAAGAGGAAGGCCAAAGAACACATTGCGTCGGATAATAGAAGCAGATATGAAAACGATGAATCACAACTGGTCGGAGCTAGAAAGGATTGCCCAGGACAGGGTTGGATGGAGAATGCTGGTGAGCGGCCTATGCTCCTTCACGAGGAGTAACAGGCGTAAGTAAGTAAGTAAGTATTGAAAATTGTTATCCCTATTGAGGTATGGTCTGCTGACGAAGAATCACCAAGCAAATCTGTCTTGGGAACCTTTCTCCAACTGTTGCCCAGTGCGATCAATGATCTTGATGTTCGACTCCAATTGTCGACACTACACGTTTAGTTGGTCTGCCTCTTACTTTTTGTCTTGAAGTCTACCGATTAGGACTTACCTTGTGATACAGTTTAATGGTTTCCGTAAACTGTGTCCGATCCACCTCAATCATCTTTTCCCAATTCCCTTCTTATCCGGTACTTCATTTGTTATCTGGTCTCTGATCAAACGGATCTAGAGTATTTTCAACAGACAACTATTTATAAATACCTGTACTCTATTTCAGAAGCTTGGGGTAGTTCTCCAATTCTCAGCTCAGTACGGTAGAACTGTTTTGACGTTTCAAATGTTGGAAATTCTGACTTGGATCATGCATGATAGTACTTCAGAGTTTTAGACACTGGCCAACTACATGAAACTCTCCCTTGCTTTGACAATTCGTCTCTTCACATCTGTATCAGATCCTCCTTGTTTATCAACGATGGTGTCCAGTTAGATGAGGCCCCAAAGTGTCCCAGAGCACCACGTGTGACTTTGGTGGTGCTCGCTATGTTGTGCTTCAGAATCTCGCTTTTTCCCTTGTGAATGTTGAGGCTTACATCTGCGGAGGCCACTGCTACACTGGGTGTCTTCACTTGCATTTG